GCGCGAGGGGATAAATCCTCTTGAGGTTTTTCATACCTCATTGAGGTCTACCTATCGCCAAAAGATGGGACCTAAAGGGCTTAAACACCTAAATATGTTCCCTCGTAAGTTTTATTGAAGAAGAATATTAATGTACTTTGGCAACTGACCCAAACCCAAGTCCAAGACTTGGGGACCCAATACACCCAAGTCGCTTGGGTTTGGGTTTGGGTTTGTAACATACCTAGTAGTCAGTGTTAATAATTTTCATCTGATGACCATATAGATCGCGCACTTTTCAGAAAGCTGAAATTCGATTTCTAAAGCCCGATAACTGAGTTTTTGTGTTTGTGAATATGCTGATTTTAATTTCTACTAGGAGAATTTTAGATTCCACTGGATTTTAATTTCTCCTGGAACATATCTAAAAGAATCAGATTGAACTGATCCAGTTTCATGCGATTTTGAAAAAAACACTCATGGTCCGTGGCAGGGGATCGAACTGCGTACTATATATCCTGACAATCTGTGACTTATACCGGCTAAGTCACGAATCACTCTATTTAATATAATTGTTTTAACATGACATTGTGAAACAAAATCCTCTCTGGAATCTCAATCAGTAAACAAAGAAATTTATTTCACACATTCCTTGAGAATCTAAGAAGAACACATTATAAAACGAAAAAAGATGAGAGACTGGAAAGCTGTTGCGATGTCTACTCTAAAATTTATAAGATCTTTCAATACGGCTTTTTCTTCTCTGAAGCAAACACGTTTTCATTTCTCGAAAGCTTAAAACGGATAGATTTGTCCGTATATAAAACTTCTCGCAGTTACTCTGGAAATCGAGAAGTACGCCAAACGTGAATTTCGCCAATTGGCGAAAGTACACTGAACTTTCGTCAATACTACCCATGGACGTTTTTGACAATAATCCAGTTGCACGATTTCTGCATGCAAGTTACAATTTTTTTAAATGAAAAAAGGGCATGACTTACACTGAGAGACTACAATTCGAGTCATAATTGGCGAAAGCAAAGCGGACTTTCGCCAGTACACCCCATGGCCGTTCAGTGGCGTAGCCAGGATTTTCTTAAGGGGGGGGCCTAACATTTTTTCCACCAAATCGACATAACTTTTTATTTCTAAAATTATCCTTTTACTCTATGCTTTAGTGCTGGGATATCTTAAAACTACTCGTATTATATTTCATNTAGTGTTTTATTGTTTGCTAATCTTGCCACGAAAGCAAGAAAGGTGAAAGTTTGGCTATTCAAAAATTGAGCCGTTGGTTTTTCTTCGAAAACTCATCGATCGCTTCGTCAGGATTTACTGTTGATGTAATTGATGAATGAAAATGCAATAGGGCGAGATTATTTAATCGAGTATCGCCCATTCGGTTTCTTAGATCAGTTTTGATTCGTTTCAACGCCGAAAAAGTTCTCTCTGCAGTTGCAACGGATACTGGCAATACCGCATATATTTCCAGTAAAACAAAGATTGATGGATGAAATTGTTTCATGTATTTTGCTGTTTTTAGAGTATCATACAATGTATTTGGGCGTTCACCTTCAGATCGCTTTAGCCAGTGATCTCTCCATAAGTCGAATTCGGCTTCTACTGTTTTCAAGTTTTGATTTTGCAGATCTTTCTCATAGAATTCGAA